GTCGGGACAAATCACCATCCCTACTATTATACAGTCCATTAAGCTCTTATCAAACAACGTGTAAAATCTTTTCTTTATTGTTTTCTAAAATACAAAATTCTCTAAAATTTAATGTGAGAAGAGGAAAACGATTTTTTTTATTCATTCACACTAATGACATTTAATTGGTTTTGGTTTTACATGTCATATGTTATATTGCATGATCGGTTTTATTGTAGGTGTATACTCATACAATATGACGGGATGTAAACTATCTTTAATAAGTATTCCCCAGTCCATGTATATCATATTTCATGCATACCTCGTAAAAACATGCTTATCTTCAATATCAATCATATTTGAATCAACACTCAAATAGAAACACACTAGTTGTATACTCATACAATATAATCTATCAAAAAGATTTCAGCTATGTTAAGGTCTTCTAGCTACATTTTCTATCAAAACAAAAGTGATTGTATAACTATGTCAGATTTATTGGCTTTCAACAGGTTTCTTGTTTTTATATCAGTAACAACTTCATTGAAGGTGCTTCATATCATCATGAGATCTTGTTATGAATCCTTCAACACTTCATTTGCTGATCACCTACAAAACCCCAAGCATATATATAGACCCAAATCAACATTCAATCCAAATAACAAGATCATCCACCTTGGTGCTTCTTAGTGTGTCTTTGGTGCACATACGAGACTGGACATGTTGGATTGGACGGATGAGAGCAAGAAAGAATTGTGAAAGGTTATAGGGATTTAATTTGACATGAGTAGTTTAGTAATTTACCGATCTTGTTATATCTCTCTAATTTTTGTCCCACTAATGGGCTGTTTGAGTAAGATTCTCGGTCTTTACCATGTTTATCCGATAAAGTAATGTGACTTGATAAATATTTACGGAATAACCATTTGGTAAATGGCTCCAAAAGCATATCTTGTTACAGTCTAAGTATCGCACTAAAAGTAACACAACAAGTAGGTGCACTCACTTGGGCACATAACTTGAATGGAAGAAGCATAACAAGGACCAAAAATATTATCTGGTAAGTGAGGGAACATACTATTACCCGATAAGCGCTTGCTGAGTAAAAAAACATTTATCACAATCCATTTTGATGATAGAGAGTGTTATCTGACAAGTTAAGTGAGAGTGATGACTCAAACAGCAGTATAAAATCTACAGAAGTGTAATGGGATAATGCAGTTTAGAATATGAAAGCGTGTAATGTACTTACTCTTGGTTGAGAGTGAATCTTAAGGAGTTTGCGAGTGTATGATTCATCACCCAATGAAAATGTTGAAGCTGATTGATCTTGATACGGGGCGTGTTCTATTTTCGACTAAAAACTTGACGAAATTATGTTCAAGTGATATGAACCGTGTTCGTGTTCCATTTGTATGCAAGCTACCAAAATTTTGTTTTATTTTTACGATGATTGTAGAAGTTGCTAACACCAATATTTCGGATGACTTTATTACATCTTGAAATAATTTGATATTTCGAAATTGAATAAATCTTAACGAACATTTTATATCTCACCGCATTACATGAGTATACAACTATATTTTATATATATATATATATATATATATATATATATATATATAAGCGTTGAAATAAAAACCACCAAATTTGTATAAATCGTGCAAACTTCATTCAACCAATCATAATTTTTTATTTTGTTCATTTTTTTGTAATTATGAGAGGTTGATTAATCATTTTTATTGTGGAGGGTGTTAATCATGGATATTATCATCTTCATTATTTTAATTTTAGAAAAATAGATGAAACAGGTTCATTAAAATTTTATTAAATATTATATGAAACAATTTCATAACCATATATGAAACAAATTCATCAAAAAAATATTATATGAAACAATTTCACAAGATTAAACAATTTCATGAAAATTTTTCATAAGATTAAACAATGAAATCGACGTATAAGGGTGGTTTGTATGGTTTGTACAAATGAGGGTGATTTGTACAGTTTGTACAAATGAGAGTGGTTTGTACAGTTTGTACAAATGAGAGTGGTTTTCATTTGATCGCTCATATATATATATATAACATAACAGCTGAAAATTAGAGTTGTTCACGAGCGATACGTCACACTAGACCCGGCCCGCTCAGCCCGTTAGAAAAAAGCAGGCTTGGATATTTATTCTCGGAAAAATGAGCGGGCTCAGGTTGGAACACTAAAGTTAATGGACAAACTTGGACTATGAAAAAAAGAATTCGGACAAGCCCGCATGGGCTATTATTATAGTTGATTAAATTTAATGTATAATTAATAATTTACTGTTTTTTTATTAATCAGATTTAGAAGTGGTTTTGGGTTGGATTCTCTCAACTAAATACCAACCGTCACCCAAATATATATAATATGTTATATCGTACGTCTTGAATCTCGATATTGAAATATCAGATGATAAATACTTTGTTATTGAAAAAACCCAGACTTTGAAAGTCGATAAATCGTTGAAGGGAAAACGTTCATATTCCATATATTTTGAAACTATTCTTTTCATAAATTATGTAATTTGATATCTTTTTTGTCTTATTTTATGTTCAAAATAAATTATGTTGTTTAAATTTTGTTTTTCAAGTTTAAAAAGAATAAGCCCGTTAGTTCGTGGGCATGCCCGACCCACTAATAAGACGAATATGGACAAACCCATAAACCCGTAAATACAGGTATGTATTTATTAGTGATGGCCAAAAACCGGTCTCGGGCTGGGCTCAATCAGTCTCAAGCTTCCCGGTCGAAAATGGTAGGATCGGTCAATGTACTTCATAACCGGTTATGAGCTGCCAGTCCCAGTCCCAATCGGTCCCGACATTAAAAAATAAGTTTTTTTAATGATATATATTTTTAATACATTATAAAATTTACAATTTGGTCACTCAAATACACTTTAAAAATACGTTTTAATATAAGTAAAATTACATTGTCTTATAAATATACATTATAAAATTATTTAAAATTATTTTTATTTATTAAATTATTTGATTTTCGGACTTGGCCGAGCCGGTCCACAGTCGGTCCCATAACCGGTCCTGGTCCCGGTCCCAGTCCCACGAAACTACCAAAAACCCCAATCGATCCCGATTGGTCCCATAACCGGTCTTTACCGGTCCCGAACCGGACCGGTCCTTTGCTGGTCCCGGTCCTCTGAACGTTCCGAGCCGGACCGGGTCGATTTTACCGTCACTAGTATTTACTATATTAGGCCCGTTAAATAAAAAAATATGTAAGATCCCGGTCCAAACCTAAATATCTAAAAGAATATCTGAAGTATTTACTAAATATTTCATAAAATATCGAAAAGAATGAATCCTGCCATGTCATACACCAAAATATCTAAACTGAAAATACTATGGTGACGTGGAGTTTCCTGATTGGCTACTTGAGCGGCGATATTTTGTCCTACAATTATAAAATATCTTAGATTGTATTTAGACGTCACACCTTGTGAGTTGCGCTCGCACCGCCCCCAACATATTTTAATCCTTTTAATTTCCTATTTTAGTAAATTACAAATTTGGTCCTTATAGTTTATCAAAAACAACACTTTTCATCTTTACAGTTTCAAAGTTATAAGATAACAATCATAGTTTGTAAAAACGTCCAGATTTGGTTCAAAATTCTATTAAATTAGAGGTATTTTCGTCTTTTTATCGATTTTCTTTTGTTATTTAACCGATCAAAAAAACATAAATCAAATCACAGATATATTGACCAGTTAAAACACAACTTTTTTTCCTGATAAAAGGACGAAAATCCTCCTATCTAAAGGAATTTTTTAGTGGTTGTTAGAGTAAACTACAAATTTGGTCTATGTGATTTGATTTTTTTAAATGTCTTTTAAAAAAAACCCTATTAACAAGGGATATTTTTGTCATTTTATCAATTTTTTTGTCTTTCATTTAATTAGAAATCACATAGGCCAAAATCATAAAATCAATTTTGATTAAATAAAAGATAAAAAAATTCTGATAAAATAACAAAAACACCTCCTACTTAACAAATTTTTTTAACGAACGGTTAAAAGAAGATACAAAATCCAAATTACAATAACTATTTTGTAATTTTAAAACTGTAATTATTTATTGAGGGTTTTAATTTATCTATATCTATACTACCTAATAAACTAAATTTATCAAAAGTCTTAAAAACAATTTTTAATGCATAAAGTACTATATATTTATACACAAAGTTTTAAAAGTCTTATAAACAATGCATAATGCATTAAGTACCACTACTTTATACATCAATATTAAAATCTCTTAATCTACAATTAAAATAACATATAGTACAAGTTACCAATGCAAATTATTACTTTTTCTCTTCATGTTCCCAAGATACTTTTGATACCTTTCACTTATGTCTTCACTCTCTCATACCTATATGTCTTCTCCTCATTCCTCAAGGTGAGATTCAAATTGATATTCACTATGAGTTGTTAAAAGTCTTTAATTCATTTTCATTCAATTGCTCTAAAACTCCCGGTCTCGCTCTCGATATCTTGATTTTTTGTTCTTGTTGTAAATCGAACACATTTGTGGAGTCTTTTAAATATATTGAATTTTAAATCGTCATACAATTTTTTTATCGATAGACTGCAATTGAAACCGTAACTCTTATTTATTTAAATTATATTAATATATAAATACCAAATGTAACTTATATATCATCGAATCTTCTATAATAAAACTAATAAAACTTTAAAATCATTAAAATTCATGACTTCCGTGACACGATTACATGTCTGTTTACGAGAGGCGTCGACAGAAATTATAGAAACAAGTGCAGGCAGATATTTATGTTGATGCATGAAGGAACACGTGTCATGTTGTAGGACGCTTTAATGTCTGTAATTTAATTGAAAAATAAAAAGAAAAAGAAAAACAGTTTAATTGTTTTTGGAAGAAGGCGGATATTTTGAAAGGGGGATATTTTGATGGTTGAATAAATATCTCTCTAACCTGCTCTTCATCCTTGTATCTTCCTTGCTTGCTTGCTTGGTTGCCATGGGGATTCTTAGAGATGACGACTCAGAGGATCGCCGGAGGACCAAGAGAATCAAATGCCACGACCATCAGAATGACTACGACTACGACTATGACCACGAGTTCGGTGATGTAGAAGAGGAGGAAGAGAGTGGTACTGGATTTTCGTTGAGGTTAGGTGATTTTTTCAATCCGATGATTCCGACTTCTATTGTCGTTTCGGATGCTATGGAACCGGATTTTCCTATAATCTATGTTAATAAAGTCTTCGAATCCATCACCGGTTATCGCGCCGATGAGGTCCTTGGCCGGAACTGGTATGCTTCTCTCCTCTTTTAATTTCTCGTTCCGATTTACTTTATGTTACTTCCTGTGTTCAATTTTTGGCTTTTGGTTTATGAATTTAGTGCGATGAAAATGTAGGAAAGACATGTGTTGATTACTGTTGTTTTGTGTTTATGGAATCGGTGTTAAATTGTATCCAGATTAGGTTTTTCTTCTTCTAGATCTCATGATCAAATTGATGTCAAGAGTACAGATTGTTCTATCTTTTACTTTTTGAATTTTTGTTTCATGATACGTGCTAGGTTTTTCTTCTTCTAGATCTTATAGAGAGAAAAAAAATGTCAAGGCTCAAGAGTATGAATAGTTATGTGTTAAACTATGGAATTTATTTTTCATGACACGTCACTTGTATAAATCGTTTAGAACAATTTGTGTTTAGTTTTTACATCTGTTCTTATTTTTTTCGTTGATTTTAGTGCTTATTTGGAAGACCTGAGTTTTTCAAGGACTTTTCGAAACAAGTTCATGACATTTTAATTCATGCTCTCGTTGACATGGAAAATCAAAATCGCTGTCCAGCATTCACATAAGCCCTTCCCTTTTCCTAATTTATTCACTATACAAAGGGAATAACTTTTAGCTGCCAATGTTACAAATTCCTTACACTTACAGATCAAAACTTTTAGAGTTTTTGTTTACAATTTGGGTTGATAACTAATGAAAATGAGGCTCATTCTGGGTAGGGATTTCTCTGATGTTGCACATGCATTACTTTCTGTTCCTACACTAGCCTAATTTCTATAAGTGGTTAGATTTGAGTTGGTCATTGTAGATCATGTTCTTGATTCAGGAATGTTTTGTTTCAGCCGTTTCTTACAGTACAGAGACCCCCGAGCCCAAAGACGGCATCCTTTGGTAGACCCTGTTTGTGTTTCAGAGATCAGAAGATGTCTTGATGAAGACATTGATTTTCAGGGAGAGCTTCTGAACTTCAGAAAAGATGGTACTCCACTGGTGAACCGGCTAAGACTTGCTCCCATACACGGTGATGATGGCATAGTCACACACATAATAGGCATTCAGGTATTTACTGAAGCCAAAATCGATCTAAATAGTGTTTCATACCCTGTTTTCAAAGAAACTTGCAAGAAGCAATGTGATCAAGAGACGGGTAAATACTCCCCAAAGAGTGGAGAAATGAAGTATATAGAGAGCCAGGAGATATGTGGAATTCTTCAACTTTCTGATGAAGTAATGGCTCAAAACATTTTGTCACGCTTGATGCCTAGAGATGTTGCTTCGATTGGATCCGTTTGTACAAGGATTCGTCAACTGACCAAGAACGAGCATGTCAGAAAAATGGTGTGCCAAAATGCTTGGGGAAGAGATGTAACGGGTGCATTGGAACACATGACGAAAAAACTAGGGTGGGGCCGTCTTGCTCGGGAACTCACCACTCTTGAAGCTGTTTGCTGGAAGAAACTCAGAGTCGGAGGCGCGGTAGAGCCTTCACGCTGCAATTTCAGTGCGTGTGCTGCTGGGAACAGACTCGTTCTCTTTGGAGGCGAAGGCGTTAACATGCAGCCAATGGATGATACGTTTGTCCTCAATCTCGATGCTGCAAATCCCGAGTGGCGGCAGGTGAGTGTGAAGTCAGCCCCACCAGGTCGGTGGGGCCACACGCTAACCTGTCTCAATGGATCTTGGCTAGTCATATTCGGTGGCTGTGGAAAACAAGGATTGCTCAATGACGTCTTCATTCTCGACCTCGACGCCAAACAGCCGACATGGATCGAAGTCTTTGGCGGTGGTGGTCAACCGCCACCCCGATCCTGGCACAGCTCATGCACCATAGAAGGGTCGAAACTAGTCGTCTCCGGTGGGTGCACCGATGCCGGAATCCTTCTCAACGACACATTTTTGCTCGATCTCACGATGGAAAAACCAATGTGGAGAGAGATTCCGGCCTCCCCAATCCCACCATCTCGACTCGGACATTCGCTCTCCGTTTACGGACGGACCAAGATTCTTATGTTTGGTGGGCTAGCCAACAGCGGTCACCTAAGGTTAAGATCAAGTGAGGCATATACCATAGACCTGATGGATGAAAAGCCTGAATGGAGGCTATTGGAATGCAATGGGTTCACAGGGGTTGGGACCCAGAGTGCAGTGGTTCCACCGCCCCGGCTGGACCACGTAGCGATGAGCATGCCGTGTGGGCGTGTTATAATATTTGGCGGTTCAATAGCGGGATTGCATTCACCTGCTCAGGTGTTCTTATTGGACCCAGCAGAAGAGAAAGCATCATGGAGGCTCCTAAATGTGCCTGGTCAACCACCAAAATTTGCATGGGGTCATAGTACATGTGTGGTGGGGGGTACGAGGGTTCTGGTGCTGGGTGGTCATACAGGCGAAGAATGGGTTCTTAATGAGCTGCATGAGTTGTGCTTGGCCAGCAAGCAGGATGTGGAGCCATGAATCAAGTTATATATATACATATATATATATATATATACGTATATATGTGTGTGTGAGATTAGTGATAGTTGTCAATTTAATTGTAGGATCGATTGAGTTTTTGTATTTGTGGTTTGTAAGTTTCTTTTTTTAACCTTTGTATCTTGTTAATATATATAGTTACATTTGAGAAAGAACTGATTAATTTCTGGTAATCGTAACATCTAATCTCAACCATAAATTAATGGTTAAATTAAGAGATTAATAATTTTGATAATTTTAAATTAAAATATTAATTAAGAGCATTTTAGTCTTAGATTTTTTTTCTCTCTTCTCTCCTTTTTTTTCCTCTCAACTCTCTCCGTCAAACACCACATCTTTCCAACGAACACCATATCAAAACATGATGCACACTGTGGTACGTTTCATAAAATAACGAAAAAACACAGTGTGATACACTTGGTAAAGAAAACATTATCTGATATATTGTGTTACACTTCATAAAACAACAAAAATATATTGTAATACACTTCGTATAACGATAAAAATACATTATGATACACACTATGATATCAAATATGGTTGATGAATACAACTGTGATACCACTATGTCACCACTGTGATACCCAATAAGTTTTAACAGTAAATAATTATATATTTATTTTCTCAATTGTAACTTCATAAAAAGAAACTTCCATAATATTTGTTTGGTTAATTAGTAAACAGTATCAATCTCTTTGATTGATAACCGTTAAGAAAAATATTAATAAAATTACTAATACACCATTTTTCTTAATTAAGACAATACAATTAATATAATAAAATGATTGATTCATATTAGATCTCATGGTTACCACAAACTAATTAGTTCTCATTTGATTAGGCTCATATATATATATATATATATATATATATATTAATAATATATATACACAATATACACACACATATAAAGCATTTGACAAAAAAATTTAAAAACATTTTTTTATATATAAAGTACTATTTATTAATGCATATTACTTAAAATTCAAGATTACAAGTAGAATATGCATGAATACATTTTATTAAAGCTTTATTTTGAATTCGTATAACTATCTGCAGATAAACATGATCAAATAAAGAATAAAAATCTTATTTTAAAATATAAAAAAACTAAAATATAATTAGGATAATTATCGAGTTCTAACAAAATAATTAACTATTATCTTTATAAGAAAATTATATTACTAAACCAAATATAAGTTACTTCGTTATTAAATTTAAATTAAATTATAATTAAAAAATTTGAATTAAAAATTACACAAAAAATGAGAAGTTTTAAATAGTTAATTTGATACTAATATCGATATAATTTTGTCAAAATTTTATGATATCTTCAAATTTATATATTATTCAAAAATAAAAACATCATCGTTTTTTCAAAATCGCATAAAACTATATTATAACAACGATTGAGATAAAAAATAAAATAAATACTAAAAATCAAGATGTATTTCACTGCATTGCACGAATATCCTTCTAGTGTGTGTATATATATATATACATACACACACACATATATATATATATACATACATACATACATACATACATACATACATACATACATACATACATACATACATACATACATACATACATACATACATACATACATAGGGGAGCGTTCAAATAAAAACCACCTAATTTGTATAAACCGTGCAAACTTCATTCAACCAATCTTAATTTTTTATTTTGTTCATTTTTTTGTAATTATGAGAGGTTGATTAACCATTTTTGTTGTGAACGATGTTAATCATGGATATTATCATCTTCATTATTTTAATTTTAGAGAAATACATGAAACAGTTTCATTAAATATTATATGAAACAATTTCATAACCATATATGAAACAAATTTATCAAAAAAAGTATTATATGAAACAATTTCACAAGATTAAACAATTTCATGAAAATTTTTTATAAGATTAAACAATGAAATCGACGTATGAGGGTGGTTTGTACGGTTTGTAGTGGTTTTCATTTGATCGCTCTTCTATATATATATATATATATATATATATATATTGATAGTGAATCAAGACTTTTATTAAGTTATATGTATCATATCAACCGGTTATGTTTCATTTTCTTTTATCCGTGGGTTCACTTACGTGATCTTTCTAACGACACATTAAAGTTATTGTAAGTGAACTTTTAATTAGTCTTTTGTTGTTGATGCCCTTTCTTTTTTTCTTATCGGTCATCATTTGTACTTTTTCTATTAACCAAATTAAAATCCATTTGTTTACTAAAGATTCATTATATTCGTGCGTTTTTTATTTTATTCTTTATTTCAATTTCAATATATTTGCGATTTCTGTTTTTATAATAAACTTCATTTGTGATTTATCATTATGAAAAATGGCATCACGTAGTTACCAATCTTTTGTTATCAAAGCGAACACCGCTCATAATCAAGACGATCTGGTTTGGAAAAAAATAATGATTTGAGAAATTTGTTAAATTTAAATAGAAATGCATAAACCACAAAGGTGATGCCTGATTGGTTTGAGCTTGACTCCAAAGGTTAAAAAGTATCAAGAGGTCCCAGATTCAAATCCAAGGAGGAATACAAATCCCTTGTGGCCATAGAGATTCAAATACGGTGACTCTGGACTATCTGTAAAGCAGGTAGTCGCCCTGAAATTAGTCAGCTCGCATAGCGGGTTGGATACCCAAATTAATAAAAAAAAGAAAAAAAAAAGAAAAAAAAAAGAAATGTATAATGTAAAAGACTAGCGCACTTCTTCCGATGGGGGGAAATTCCACATTGATACGATACGTGAAAAAGTCTTGTGTGACATTGAAGAGCATGGATTTGATGCAAACACAAATTTTCCAACTAGATTGATTTGGACTTGTTATGCCAAGCTAAATAAGACGATGCAAGCAGAATTACTGATCCAGATAGAGTTGCTGTTTTGTCATTTTGATTAACCAAAAATCATGAGGTGGGTCCAGCCGAGATATCACGTATAAGTGCTACATTTAGACGTGACAAATCAGATTATGAAAACAGGACAAACAAAAATGCAATAATAATTTTTTAACTTGGTTAGTTGTGTCCCTCTAATTTGTGAGAGTTCACTAGATTGATACATGGATATAAAACATGATAAAATGAACAATTGCATTTGAGCAATTTGGTTTCGGGCTCGTTTTCCTAAACACTTACCCGGTAAGCACTTACCGGTAAAATTCAACACTATCGCTTACTTACCGAATAAGATTTTATTCACTTAAACGCATCGTATGCAACAATTTATCTCGGTAAGCGCTAACCATGGTAAGAGTCCTCGTCCTCACTTACCGGGTAAGACTCTCGATTCTTGTTTAACAAGCTTGAGCCAATAATGATCCGAGTTTGAACACATAAACGAGCTTATAAAACTTGAACTTTTAGGTCATAAATATGTAACTCAAGATTGTTAAACAAGCAGCAACTTCAAACTCAATTATTAGAGCTCAAACCTGTTGTCTTGAGCCAAATCCAAACAACCTGCTGCTCGACTCTGACTCATTAACACCCTTTAAACAACCATAAACACATAACCTTCAACCAAACAACATCTTATCATTAACACATAAAATTTTCAATTCATAATAGCACAAAACCTGTCCAGCAACACCATAAGCAAAACCCAAAACAAGTAGTATATCTGAAGCCTATAACAGTAACAAAACATTTGTTCACAATTTTTTTTCTAAGTTACTGTCTAGAAGTCGTAGTTTGTGTGACGGTGACACTACAGGCTGATATATATTCTGGTGATTATAAGTACAAAGTAATGTGATTATGGGTACAAATGAGCACAAATTATAACTTGTATATGAGATAAGGTGCTTACGTGGTTCGTGAATCTCATTTCCATGCGACTGAATCGATCTCGTCTCTGGCTGATCTGTACAGCTGAAGTCTCTTGGCTAAAACCTCTCTCTTTTCCATGAGTGACGGATCTTCGTCTAACATTTTACCAAGCTGCTCTTTCTGCATCATTATAACAAAATTGCTAACTTCCCATGCTGCTGCTTTTTTCTTTACCTTATTCTTTCTTTCAAATTAATAGAGTTTTTTTTTTTTTTTTACTGTTTCAGTACAAACGAACTACTCATTTTCAAGATCGACTAGAAGTTTTTGGTAACGTGTAGATTTACATAACTGACATCAAATTCAATTAGATCAGTCATCAATCATACATAATAACAATTGTAGGAAATGAACATATGGTTCAAGTTTAACAAGTCTTCTAAATTCCTGGTTGTTTCTAAGATTTTTATGTGTAATCATGAAAAAGTAAACAAATAGCTTCATATATATATATATATATATATATATATATACTTTTATGGTATGAATCCCAGTATAAGGACTTCCTAACTGAATGGGATCACTATTTTTTTCTCAAATAGTGCTCAGGTGTACAATCCAACAGTTAATTCCATGCAGGATGTGTTCAAAAAGTGCTCCTTTTGTTCCATTAAAGTGGTGCTACTTCTGATTTGGGATGTCCAATTAAGATTGCAAGTTCCATTTTTTAATATAAATTTACCTATTATGATTTCCATCAGACTGGCCATGTTGTATGGGTCGGAGTGCTGCACAACAAGGAAGGTGCATGAGAGGAAGATGGAAGTTGCAGAAATGAGGATGCTCATGTAGATTTCTGTTCGGACCATGTTGGACAGGAGAAATTTACCAATCAAGGATAATATGAGAGAGGAAAGATCACGGTGATTTGAACACATGCACAGTAAAACGACGACACCAGTGAGAAGGATAGAAAGTAGGGCGGTTGAGGAGGAGGGGCAAGCTAATGAGAACGTGGGAGGAGCAACTGAGGATAGATACGGTGCTATTAGACATTTCCAAGGACATGATATCTAATAGGAGTGTATGAAGACCCATGACTAGGGTAGCATACAATGTGTGTTTGGGGGGGGTGTAGCTTAGGTTATTTAGGTAGAGGGCGGGAGGAGGGGAGTTTGGTGAAGGTGGAGGGCGGGCAAGGGGAGGGGGAAGGGTGGCATTTAGGTTTAGGTTACTAGAGCCCTACATTAGATAAAGAGTGTTTTAGTTTTCTTTTCTACTTTTCCTGCTAGTTTTAGTTTTTTCCGCTTATCCTCTATATGCTCGTTTAGTTTCTCTTCCTGCTCTAGTAGTTTTAATTTTATCACTTTGGGTTTCCTTGTTGGTTATATCTTATGTCTCTCTCATGTATCTCTGCTCCCCTTTTTGTTCACTTTACCTGTTGCTTGTTTGCACACACTTCTCTGCTACTCGTCTCACTTGTATCCTTATAAATTTTGTTTTGTAAGTCGGAGATCTTCACAGAAACAGGCTTGGGTTAGAGAAAGGTCTACGTGCATAACTTTGTGTGGGATCTGCTAGCCTTGGTTTTCATTTTCATAGAACAATGGGGGTAATGAGTTTCACTTTAGGGTAAAAGAGAGAAAGCGTGAACGGAATAAGAAAATCATGCTTTAACTTGATAACTCCATTAAATGATTGCCATAAGTTCTTTATAATGGGCTAGATTAGTGAATTCCCTCTTTAGCAAGGAGGGTGTAACATCCTGCTTCGCATCAGGTTTTGAGTTAGAACTGCAAGTATCTTAGAAATTTTTAGTATTGGGTTATTAATAATTTCCATCACAATTTTAGTTAATTTATAGGTTAATACGTTAATCCATGGCTAAGGGGCTTCGTGCATCGAAATTACCTTGAGATGTAAGTTAAACTTATGCATCTACCCAAGATAATGACTATAACGCCATTCCATTAGGATTTATGCAGAGGCAGATACACTTTCATTCCAACCAGTGTACATTTTTTGTCATATTACATTCCATAAGAAAATTTCTTTTTAGTGCATACCCAGGTTGCAAATCTTGGATCCCACTTGGTTTATGGAGTAGGCTTGACGAATACAATAGATGATTTAAGCAGGGAGCTTTTCATGTCGGTTGTGAGTTAAGCCGGTGAAAATAATGGGTTACAAGTTACTACTAACTTCCAATCAAGGATTAATTTCATTTATAGGTTATTTGGTCATTACCTTGGGTCACAAAAGACTTGTCCCAACAACCAAGCTATGCATTAACTTTAAGCTTCATAAAAAAGAGTACCTCTTTTCTACCAATCTGCGCATAGAAGAGATTCAGCAATGATCTCCTTGCTTCTCGGACTTGACAATAAACAACAGCCTTTGGTATTGTATTCTTCAGAGTATCACAAACCATACCAACGTAAGCAGAGACGTTTGACCCTGATCAGAATTACTTGCTACTTTCAGAAAACAGATATTTTCGATAACTAAGATGTAGCTTCCTACTTTTAGAATCACTTTGTCAAATATGGCACTCAGAATGCATAAAATACAGCATACTAGATCAAGTCTAAACATGAATGGAGACATTTTGCTTCCATGATTTTAAATTTGACCATAAATTCTGATGGTGTCAGCAACTAAAGGAAGAGAGGAAGAGGTAGCGTGTTTACCAATCTTCCTAAAGTGATAATCATTGTAACGATCTGCATTTGGGCCTGATGCGTTTGAATGCTTATCATCTCTGGGGTTATTGTCCGATTCATGAATCTTACGAAAAAATTCTGCTGTTAAATAAGTTGATTCCATTTCCACCAGGCGGTTAACTGTCTTTCGGCTTTCATCGCGAAACTTTTCCAGTGCTTCATTTGAAGCTGCTGCTATGCTAGCTTGAAGTGATGGGAACCGCTTCAACTCCTGCAACAACCATAACGTATTGACAAATAACAGAATACAGGCCTTGATGCAAGAGCATTAAATTTTCAAACAACCTACTTGGATTTTTGTTGCAAAGAAAACATCCTTAAAGAAGCATCACGTCTCAAATGACTTAACAGGATTTACCAAAAGCTGCTAAGTGTGATAGTTTTTACATTTTATATTTTCACAGTTCATCCATACGTCCTCCAAAACTCTTGGGTCCTAAAGGTTTGTTATTGTTCAAACTAGAACACCTTTATATTGCATCATAACAAGGATTTTAGACTAGGATAAACTACATCAAAGCCCTAAGATAAATAAACCGGACACCCTAAGAAACTAATGAACCTTGAAATTTACTTTTGAACTCATTTTTTTTTATTTATCAATTTTAATCTTTACTAAAAAAACTTATTTGATTGAATTGACTTAAGCCAAATTCGGAACTTGAGCAAAATTCAAAATCAATAACTCTTATTGTTCAAAAACATGTAAATGCATTTGCATCCCACATGTTAAAGATCTACCTTTTTAAGGTTTAGATCATGTTGTCAGTTTGTAGACAATAATCAAGCATTTTATGAAACAGAGTAATGAATTATTTACCACCGTCTCTGCCATGGATTTCCTCACAAGTTCTTTCAGAATGAAGTGTACCTGAGGCGAGAACAACACAATTAAGTCAATGAAGGTATATAATAGTTAGTGGTTTGGATATACGATCTAGCGAATAATGTGAACGGTACTAAAGCTGACTACAAATTACAGAGGACAATAGTATGTGTATAATTATAGAGAAATTAGACAAACTTAAGAGATGACAGTTTCCTCAAAGCCAAAAATATGACAAATTACAGAGGACAAGGATACGTGTATAAATTGCCCCAACTAAAGGATTTATCAAGTAGCCTTTGACCCAATGGTAGGTACCAATCAATCCCTACGACCTTGTAAATCTCTTTGGAGATGTGTGTGAGAGTTCCTTTATCATTTAAGAAAAAACAAGGGCTGCTGTATTTAAATAATTTTTTGATACGATATATTTACTTACTGCAATTGCATTATATACTAGAATGCAAGGAATTGGACGGAGGTTATAGAGAATGCCACAAATAATTACTCTTCACAGACATAAACAAGGAGTGCCAAGCTATACCAGGATTATTATCATCATTGTTACTATTTTTATATTGATTTCTTCATATTCAGCCGATGAAAGGGTAAAAGGCTAGTTGACATGTGAAAGTGATAATGCATTTTGTGTATCTTGCCCAAAACTCGCTACATCATTTTTTCTGCGATATATGAACTTGTATCTGTGCTTATATGGGTTTTCCAAAGCATTTTCTGTTTCATGGTTTGTGATCCAAGACCATTAGAAAAGTTCCTACAAAGTGCATGTCGGCTACTAACTTCAACAATGTAGCAGTTTGCACATTAAAGTAGATGCATTCTAATGCATGGCAGAAAAAATAGTTTCTTTTCTGTCTTTGTTTTGGAGTTGTATTACATAATATAATAGCATGATGTCAAGGAAAAAGTTAAGATGCAGGCCGACCAAGTAGGCAGAGGAAATATTACCGCATCAACAGAAGCTTCAGCTGGGCCCTTGAAGTATCCAAGAGATCCATCTATTAGTCTTCTATATCCTTGCTCAGGAGCAATTAAGTGGGGCTGATAACCATCAGCCTCTGAAACAACTTTTCGGACATTACTGGTAGAGAGGTGACGGTCCAGCGGGAGCTTTTTCATGGCAGCTGGTAGCTGATGATCAAAGACTCCATATATTCGATCTCCACCTGGTCGCCTGAAAAAGGAACCAGTTTTATAGTATTTTCCCTGAGAGGGACTGAAGTCCATGAAGTCAAATAAAATCCAAAAGAAGGGACATCAGTTTTTCTGAGGTCAATCCCTCATTATGCTACAGAAGTTACAAAGGCATCCTCAAAAAGCTTATAGTAGCATTTTTGTGATGCTAGTTTCGTGATAAAATTTCTTTAATGGAACGAGAACAATAAATTAAGTAGAGCAAATGTCACGTAAAAATATGCATTACCCTCCGTCAAGGTGCTCTTTGAACACACGGTCAAATGCACGACACAATTCCAAGATCGTATAAAGTTGTGCCTGTTCATAAGCATATGGACAACTTGTAATAACCAATAAATCAAAAAAAATTAACCATCCTAGTACGTAAGATTTGTGATACTTCTATTTAGCTCATTACCCCTCCGTCTGCTCCAATTGGCCTGCCAATACGGTCGAGCTCTGCATTGATGTCATCAATATTCTTATTAATCAAAGCAATGATGCTTGGTATCTTCTGCCTGATAACAAGCTCTAAATGCTGATGGAGGGAAAAGGGGAAGGGGACAAAAAGAGAGAATTCGAAAACTTGTCAAGCCATATGATGAAGAAAATTGTAAGCAAATATCTACAAAGACTATGAAGAGGACAAGTACCCTGGACAAAAGCTTTGCAAGATATACTGAACCCATTTTAGGCGCTAAGTGTCCATAGTCAGGGCTAGATTCAAAATATTCCTGCTCCTTTCGTCTAGCTGCCATCATGTCAACATTTTTGTTAATATCAGCTTGTGAGCGGTTCACAATTCCAACCCAAGGATGTTGAAGCTTGTAGGATCTTCCCTCAAGAACCTGTAATTTTATAATCGGCAAGTTCCAACCTTTATACCAGCACCTAAGAATTCTAACTCTAAGCAATCAAATATGCATAAGAATTGCGACAAGAATGGACAGTGAACAATATATCCAGCAACTTGTGAGAATATATAACCATACATCTAGACAGTTGGTTCCTGCGTCCATGAGATCGAGTTTAGTTACCACTCCAAATGTTCGTTCACCTACATAATAAAGTATAAACTGAAGAATTTAGTATTCCTAATTCAAGATATGGAAAGTGACAAATGGGGAACACCATAATTGATAAGTCCTTTGTGCCTAGTGGTACCCCAATTCCAAAGTAACCTTTTGGTTGGGGTTCAAGTCTCATATGGACAAGCACGAGTATGCACAGGGGCCAATGAGGAAAAAGGAAGCATCACGACAACTGTGGCCTTTTATGGATGATAAAGTTGATTTAACAAGCATAAGATACCTGTAGGATCAACTTCTCTAGCAAGCTTTATAGCATCAGATGTGGCAATGTCTTGATTAGCAGGAGAAATTGCTAGAATAATGCAATTGGGCTGCAGGAACAAAAAAAATTCTTTAGATTAACTGAGTAGAAATTAATACCAGCATAAACAACATTGCTGAAAATAAGTTTCCAAAAATTATTAGTTGCATGCCAACAAGTAACTTGGAACCATTACACATGCTTATTCCTTGACCAAAATGGTATGGAAAGATAAGCTGCCTACTATATAACATCTTATGAGGCAAGACATATGTGAATACCAACTTGAATTATTAAGTTCCTTTTGAAGTGTCTCCTGCAGCTTTGCAGCTTCAGTTTGTACTTCTCTAAGATATCTACACTACATGATTCTGATATAGCAGTTTTCAGAAGAAAGGGAAAGAAACAATCTCTCAATTATGTAGTGCCTATGTTATCTTCTCAGGAAGCCCACGATGACATCAAGATTGCTACCTCCTGAAAGCAAGCACGCACATATACAGACAATATGCTACTAATTTAGCAAGAACTATCACCTAAGCTATGTCATCCAGATGTTCTGATCTACTATGATGTTTAATATTTGTTGTTCCTTATAATATATGTTCCCTTACCTTATCAACATAAGAACGGACCATCATTTCAATATCTTCAACGATGGAGTCTGGCTGTCCCTCTGCAGAGCCAAAAAAAGCCATTACATATACTTGCATATCAGTTACTCTTGTCAAATTATGGCACTTGAGGCTGGACATCAATGTTAAACTTAAGTAGTAGTAAATACTCACCTACAGCAACTTTTGTTAACCCAGGAAGATCAATAAGAGTCAGGTTCACAACTGTAAAACAAATTCAAGATAATCAAGAAGTCTTATGCCAAATATAAACCAAGGAAAAGGAACACTCATTGTGACCACATAGGTTAAAAGTCAAACATAGAAGTCACAAATGAAGTAAAACTATAAGGAACTTCAAAAAACCAATAGCATGGATCAGGGCAAGCACTTGGTACTCACTCCTCCCACAATAAAGTGGCCTCAAAATTGCATGTAGATTAAAGGAACTTCATGCTGAGTGGAGCCTTAAATATAATTTTACATAGTCCCTACCTATTGACACATTAGTTATAATGATTAGTGATCCGCTCTAAATTAGGGATCTTCTGTTTATAGTAAAGAGACGCTAAATATGTGAGGAAGTAGAATACTAAGAAATTGATCCACAAACACTTTTCTCTTTTGCTTTAAAACAAGAGCATTGAAACATGAATGACACTCGAGTGGCAACAAAAAGACTAGGCTTCCAAAGGGGTTCATCAAGCATCACCAAAAAGTGAAGAGGTTGTGTAATTTTATTTGTTGCATATACCATATATAAATATTATATACTTCAAAAAAAAGACTAGGTGTATCAAATTATACATGATTCCATAACATCACTCCACTAATGAAAGGTATCTAGTTATAGCATTATGTGAAAAAGAAATTTAATGAGGAAAATAAACTAGCATCAGCTGACCTGAAAAAAATGACCATGCATGGTCTTTATAAACCGACTACTCTATCCATCTGGCACCTTATACCCTGTCTCTCCATCTCCACCTCACGAGTCTTCCACAAACTGTCTCGCTGCTCTCTCACCTCAAGTTTAGCATCATCGCCTTGGTCATCCCGACAACAATATTTTTAGTTTTCTTAGGAATAATCAGTTCATTCAATGTAATAAGAGCCTTGCTCTCAGTTTTGTCATTCTTGTCAAATTGGAAAACATAAAAGGCTTTCCTTTTCCCCTTCTTCGTCTTCCATTTATTCTGCTTTTGACATAATACATAGCGACTTATGGACATCCCCCATGTCAAGCGCCGATGGAAACCGTTACTATCTACTTCTCCTAGACGACTTCACTCAATTTCTTTGGATTTACCCACTAAAGCACAAATCTGAAGTCTATAATAAGTTTCTTCTTTTTCGCTCATATGTCAAAACACAGTTAAAACAAGAAATAAAATCTTTCCAATGTGACAATGAACGTGAGTTTGACAACTCTATGTTCCATGCCTTTTGCAAAACTCACGGCATGCTCTTTCGATTTTCTTATCCTCACACCTCTTCTCAAAAAGGCAAAGCGGAATGTATGCTTCACACCTTGAATGACATCCCTCGTACCCTTCTTGCTCATGCGTCCCTACCTCCCTCATTTTGGGTGTATGCACTACATATGAGTGTGTACTTTCATAACATTCTCCCTACCAAAACTCTTAATTTCTCTACCCCCATTCAGACTCTCTTTCATCATATTCCTTCCTATACTCACCTCAGGACGTTTGGTTGCCTATACTATCTAAACCTCTCCGCTACGGCACCGCATAAGCTCTCCCCTAGATCAATATCGTGTATCTTCATAGGCTTCCTTACCTCTCGTCGTGGATATCTGTGTTATGACATATCTTCGCATAAATTCTTTACCTCACGACACGTAAACTTTGATGAACATACATTCCCATTCTCCCAATGTCATACAACCTACACATCAACTACGACTTTCTCTCATCCAATGAACTCTCACCCTTAGCCATTGAGCGTCTCATGAGCTCGCCTCCACCATCCAAACCCACTCCCAATGCACTTCACCCCATTCTCCCAACCGAACACTCACATTCACACAGGCATCTCGTGCCGACTTCTATAAGCACCCCATCTCTTCCCAGCTCCCAACCCCACATAATACACCAAAATCCCTCCCTTGCCCCCAACTCCTTTGCCCAAGTCTACACTAGGCGGCCACGCCCGACACCTGTTTCCTCACATCCATCACCACTATTGCCAACGCCACCCCCACCCCCACCACCACCTTACCACCATATGTCAACTCGCGCAAGTCATGGCATTCACAAACCCAAAATTCCCTTTAACCTTAGTACAACTTCTATCTCACCCCTTAAGCTTTCCCACCTTAGTGCCCTCAAGGACCCTAATCGGAATGTTGCAATGCAAGAGGAATATAATGCTTTAATTAAAAATGGCACATGGGAGCTTGTTCCTCGACCTCCCGATGCCAATACCATTCGTTGTATGTGGCTATTTAGACACAAGTTTGATTCTGATGGGAAACTTCAACGCCATAAGGCTCGCTTGGTTGTCAATGGTAAGTCTCAGGAAGTTGCGGTAGATTGTGACGAGACATTTAGCACGGTGGTCAAGCCCGCCACTATTCAGACAATTTTAAGCTTGGCCCTCTCTCATTCTTGGCCAATACACCAACTTGATGTCAAAAATGCATTCCTACATGGGAACTTGAAGGGAACAGTGTATATGCATCAGCCTCCCGGTTTTGTTGCTTCATCTGCCTCCGACATGTTTGTCTTCTCCGAAAGTCCCTTTATGGTCTCAAACAAGCTCCCAAAGCTTGGTATCAAAGGTTTGCCACATACATTACCAAGATGGGCTTTGTCAGTAGTAAATGTGACAACTCGCTCTTTATACACAAACACGGGGGCAACACAACTTTTCTCTTGCTATATGTAGATGATATTGTTCTCACTGCCTCCTCTGATGTGTTCCTTCATCATATGATCTCTCCTTAGTGTTGAATTCACAATGACTAATTTGGGACCGTTAAGCTACTTTTTAGGGGTCTTAGCTCGCGCTCTCATTACACCCTTTTTCTCTCTCAACGGCAATAGTTGAGGACATCTTACAACGAGCCCACATGAGCAATCGCAAGCCAGTCAGCACTCCAGTTGATACAAAGGGTAAACTTAGTGCATATGTCGGTTCTCCTTTTACCAATCCTATCTTACATCGGAGTCTGGCCGGTGCCTTACAGCATATGACTTTCACTCGCCCTGGTATTAGCTATGTATGCAACAAGTCTGTCTCTTTATGCATGCACCTCGAGAGCCCCACTTTAATGCTATGAAGCGGATATTACGTTGTATTCAAGGCACTCTTCAATATGGTATGCTACTTACAGCCTCTCGCTCTTCTAGTTTAGGTGCTTACTCTGATGCAGATTGACCGCGGCTGCTCTGACACTCGTCGCTCTACTTCTGGCTATTGTGTCTATCTCGGCGACAATCTTATTTCTTGGTCCTCCAAACGACAACCAACTCTCTCACGATCTAGTGCTGAAGTTGAGTACTGAGGTGTTGCCAATGTTGTTGCCGTAGCGTCATGGCTACCGTAACTTGCTCCTTGAACTTCATTGTCCTATCCACCGAGCCCCAATTGTCTATTGTGATGATGTTAGTGTCGTACACCTCTCTTCTAATCCGGTACAACATCAACGCACTAAACACGTCGAAATGGATATTCATTTTGTTCGAGAAAAGGTTGCTCTCAGTCAATGCGTATCCTGCATGTACCTTCTTCATCACAATATGCTGATATTTTTTACAAAAAGGTTGCCTTCTTCTCTGTTTCTAGACTTCCGATCCAGTTTCAACGTTTGTACTCCTCCCGTTTCAACTGCGGGGGTGTGGTAATCAGAATATTCTTCCAATATCTTGTAAATATTATATTTATGTAAACCTTCCCTTTATTGTGGATTTTTAGTACCATTGTATTTCTAGGTCCCTTCTTGTATTTGGTATATAAAGGGGTTTTACCGAATCCAAGAAGAAATAAAAATCCCCTTGTGGCCATGGAGGTTCAAATGCGGTGACTCCGGGCTATCTGCAAAGCAGGTGGTCGCCCTGGGATTAGTCGGCTCGCATAACGGGTTGGATATCCAGGTTAATAAAAAAAAGGAGGGTTTATCAGTGAATACAGATCAAGGAAATTACTTTACCCTTTTTCATGATTATTAAACAATGTATTGCAAGTCGCGTTGGGGAATTATTTAGTACCAACACTTGCTACTCAAAAGGCAATTGAAGTATTGAGCATGATGTACAAAATTTAGAAGCAAATTTATGCATGTCTGCTGCAATGATTCCTTTGTTATCCAACGGTATTGACAATTAAAGAAGCATAACCTGATTGAAAATGATATCGACTATGTACTCGATAGAAAAATAGGATTAAAAGCTGAAGAGAATATCAAAAGATTCACAACTAAACTTCTACACCATTAAATGAGTGCATCTCCTCTCTAGAGGTCATAGTGAGTACATAGGTATTACTATCCATTTTCTAGTCTAATGTTCCCTTCCATGTCTTATAAAAAAAGAATCGGCAACATAGCCATTGTGGAGCAAGTCCCTGCTCCCTGCCTCCCCACCTCTCTTACCAACACCTCCAATCCAGGTATAGAAGGTGTGAAACCAAGGGTGACCTGAGCTGTAACTGATATTGAATCCAGTGATGTGGGAGCAATGTCAGCTTCTCTATTTCATGGGGGCACCCCAGCCATACTACATGCTCAGCACTTTTCTTATCTGTATAAACGTCTGCAATTTTTTTTTTTTTGACAAACTTCACCAACAACAAAGAGCTATTGCCACAAAGATTATCCAAATAACTGACCTTCCTTGGTAATCCATTATTTCATCCCTTTTAACCCTCGACACCACATCATATCCTATAACCTATTGTCACATCACATGCAAATACATGCTTCTTTTATTCTTTTATTCCTTGAACTTATGATTCAAGGAGAGCTTGACTTTAGAGTTTCTATCCTTCTCACAATAAATCGTTAATAAAATCCAAATCAAAGAATTTATATAAAAATGTATTTGATTGTGAACTAATATGACAAAGGTGACAATACCATTAGGCGAATAAATGCTAAGGTGAATTGGACGGTTAGAAATTGCCTTTGACTTCCCAGTAAGACGCTCTGTTTCATCTTCAATCTCCTTACGCACTGCAGCTGCTCTAAGGAAAAACAAAACATTAGTGGTCTAATAGGCAACAAATATCAATCGGATACTAAGCATTTACATGACAGTGAATGTGGAATGATTTTCACAGGGAAACCAAAGATATTTCTCTGCAATATCTATTCAAACAGACCTTCTAACCCTCTTCTTCATCAAAAAATCATGACAAATCAAACAAATAATATGTAAGATTGGCATATGATCCAACAAGGAAGATAATCAAACAAATAAATAAAGACATATGCAGCATCAGAGTATTTATTTCTCATGATTTTATTGGAACTGAACTCAACCTTTCTTGTATCAATATTTGATAATGAATGATAGCGTATGTCACATCGAATCCAAGTTGAGAAATTACCTAGTCATACGAACATGGGAGTTAGATCTATTTATTTGATTATATCTTTCCCATCATGGTATTGTCTGCAATCAAGTACCTAACAGTTATTTGAAAAGGGCTACTGCTTAATCGAACTGATAATATGTGCAGCCTTTCTACAATTCAAGGGACATGAGAGCAAACAAATCCAAATGCTGTAGATCAAATTATATGTAAGATTACATAATGAGTATTACAAAAGCTCTTGAAGTCATTATTGTTTGAAAGGTAGAGGGAAATAGGTCTCAACAGTAGGGATGTTATATAACCAACTCAAACGAGGTCAAAGGGTAGGTGAGGGTTAACCGCCACCTAAGGGGTTTACTTAGGATACGGTTCTCATGCCTCACAAAATGGCCCTCGCCTCTTGTGATAAGTGAGAAACGAAATTGAGTGCACACAAATTTAGAGTTTTATTCAAAAATCAAGTGTCTTACAAAAGAGATTCATAGGAGTTTTATAGGCAAGCCAAAACTTTTAAGAAAATATAAGCAAATAACCCTAGTAGCTTAAGAAACTAGATAAAATTAACTTACCAAGGAAACTTGAATAAAATCAAGAGTAAACTACATTCTTAGTCCCTGTGGTTTGTTGAAAATTTCTATTTCGTCCTTATGTTTTTGAAATTACAATTTTTATCCTTATGGTTTATACTTCATTAACTTTTCCGTCCTTATAATTTAAAATTTATTGTTTTTTCATACCTGTGATTTAAAATTCATTTATATTTTAGTCCTTCATATTTAAAAGTAGTGTTTTGGCTTGATGGATGAAAATAGAAATGAACTACAAAACATAAAGATGAAAACCCATAATTTTGAAACCATAGGGACAAAATCCGTATTTTTTTAACAAACCACAGGAACAAAAAACATAATTTACCCTGAAATCAAATACTATAGAAATAGGAGATAAAATCAAAAGATTCTAACAGTTTAGGAAACTAAATAAACTCAACCTACTAAGAAAACTTGAATATAATATAGTCTAAAAAGAAATAAAATCAAATCAACACCTGTACATTCTTCAAATTAGAGCTTCCTTTTATTCAAGCTAACGATCTTGGCTTGTGTTGCAACTGCAAGTGTCAGTGATGAATCTAGAAACTTTTATTATTGAAGACACCTTTAATTGTGTTAAAAAATTCTGAAACCAAATAACTCTTTCGAGCCAATACGATTTTGGGTTATTCGGTTTTCGGCTTAAACGGTCTAAGTTTAATCGAATAAATAAAACTTCTTCAGTTCGGTTTTCGATTACTTTTTCGTTATTTCGGATAAACCGAGACATATATTGTTATGTACATATTTTACTATTTCGGTTAAACTAAAAGAAAATGAACACATTACACATTAATAGTACAAGAGATCAATAACTTAGATTTGATTAAAAAGAAATCAGATAGCAAAAAACCAAGAAATCAGAAATAAAAGACAAAATAGTAGCAAACTTTAAATCAAAATAACAAACCCAAATTAAATAACAAACTCAAAAACCCTAAATAAAATAACAACTAAGGAATAGAAAAATAATAATTAACAAATAACAATAATTATAATTATAAATCTATAAAACAATAAAATGCAAAAAATAGTTATTAAGTCAAATCATTAGCATTATAACAAACAAAATAAGAGAAATAAAATGAGTTTTATTGGGTTGACACTTTAGAAGAATTAGAATTTAATTGATCCTTAATTAGAATGAGATGATAGAATCGGAATTGCGGCCTTGCCTTTTATTTTGTTGGAGGGCTATCAATAATTTTTAGGTTAAAATAAAAAAAAATAAACCTATAACTAATGTTTCAGTGGATGATTTTTAAAAGTTTGTTGCGGCCTCTGCCCCCTACACCTTTTTAATGCATCCGCCATGTGATAACCGGGTTCCGGTTACATAAATTGGGGTGGTTTTTGAAAGTTTTGGTAAGTAAAGAATTTTAAATTCTTTATGTGTGATTACCTGCCTATATTTTATTTCACCATCTTAAATGTTTTATGCATAAGATATGTATTATATCTCATGGGGGAATGTAAGAAATGAGTTTTAAACTATTAAAAAACTCCACCGCATATGTTTTGGCATATAAAAGTGAGAAGATAAGATTTTATCTTATCTATCTATTCTGTTTTGGGAGAGGAAAGCAAAGGAGATAAAAGTTGTGTGTGATCTTGTGTGAAAGACTGCGTGAAGTTGTTTGAAGTTGATTTTGTGATCATATTTGGAAACTGTTGCTATGAGATTCATTCTTGTATACGTGCATATAAGGTGAATTTTTGTTATTAAATTTTCTATGTTTAGTATTTGAAATATTTGAATTGGTTGGTGTTTATGTGGAAGAAAAGTAAACTGTTCTTGAAAGTTGTTTTGAGTTGATATTGAAACTGAGTTTAGAACTGTGAAAGTTCTTGATATAAAGTTTCTATGATGAAACTATTTTGATGCCATTCTAGGCAAAAATGACATATTTGATTACGTTTTATGAGGGAATAAGGGTGGCATATCAAGGAGAGGTATACCATGGGATAAGGGTGGCATATCAAGGAGAGGTGTACCATAGGATAAGGTGGCAATTGTGAAATCTGAGTTTTGATCATAACTCTTGTTATCGCATCCATGAGATGCAATGATTCTGAGTTATCATTTCTGTGTGATGTGAAGACTTGGAATTATTGCTCTTATTTGATATGATAACAATGATGTTGTGCAGAAGAGGAAAATGGCTTATAGCCAAAGGTTTTAATTGTCTGTGTTTTCGAATAAACAATGTTTTTGGGATATTGGATATTACACTTCAAATTGTTCAAAAGGGTAAAGGTTTGATGAGAACTCAGAGGGGCTCTGGTTGGTCTTTATGTCAAACCAGAAGGCCTCTGGTTGCAATGTGAAATCTAAGTTGTTCAAATGTTTTCTATATTTTTGACCCAGAGGCGCTGTATGTACTATGCAGAGGCTCTGTGTATGGAAATATAGACAAATCTAAGCTCTGTATCCGAGCTCTGTATCTTGAAATCTAAAGTCAAATCTAAGCTCTGTGTCCGAGCTCTGTATCAAAAACCACTTGGACTTGTATCATTTTCAAACTCATTTCTTTATTGACATGCGGAACCTAGAGCTTAGCTCAACAGGGTTCTGGAGGACCTCTGGGTGGCTTGGTCTCTAGGCGAATTATTCAAATTATTTATTAAAGTCTTTGAGAAAATATTCAAATCTTTGGTAGAGGACCGGAGAGACTCTAGTTAACCTTCATGTTTAATCAGAGGCATGTTTAATCAGAGGGCCTCTGGTTATCTTTAAAACCTATTTTTCTTTTAACTTCAACTCAATTCTTATTTTTCATAAGCTTTAGCCAATGACCAAGAGCTCTGGTTGGTTGTTTATCCTTGGTTTTTTTAAAGATTGAGACCAAGAGCTCTGGTTGGTCGCATATCCTTGTATGTTTTAAAAGTTGAGATCAGAAGCTCTGATTGGTATGACCAGAGGCTCTGGTTGGTTTGACTCATGATTTCTTTTCTTAAGTTAAATGATCAGAGGAGCTCTGATTGAGCATATTATGTGTTTAAATTGTTTTAAGTTGATCTAGACTTCAAGTTTGAGTCTTTCGTGATTTTGTTTTGATTGCCTTTGCTCTGGCTTAAGAGCCCGAGGAGCTCTGGTCCTTAAGAGCCAGAGGAGCTCTGGGTAATCCTGCACAGAGTGATGTGACTTTGAGAATCTCGCACAGAGTGATGCGAGGACCTGAGTGGTTATGCGCCATGTATGGCGAGGAAGATTTATGAACTCTTAATGAAAAATGATATTTGAAAAGTTAAGATAGATTTGTATGATTACAAATTTGATTTCAAAAGGTTTTGGAGATTTTCACCCTGTAATTGCAAAAGGGGGATTTCTCACTAGACGTCAAGGTCTAACTCTCATTTTCTGTTTCAAAAAAGTGCATTGCAGATCAGGCTTTACCAAGGGATAAGGGGAAGAAGAAAATGTGAAATTTTCCTTTTGTGCTTACATGGGTTATAAAGAACAACATGTTAACTGTTGGATTTTGGAATACTTGTTATATATGCAAGTTATGTACAAGAATGTTATGGAAAAATTTGGTTGTCAATTCTGTAATATAGTTTCATGTACTGTTGGGAACCGAATGTGTATTATTTGTATTTCTTGATATATGAAATACATGGTTATATGTAAATGTGGATCTTGGGGTGTTACACGCCAATAACAAGTGTGTTGTGACGCTGTGTTGCGTTGTTGCAACACAGTTGCACACAAGTTCGGCTCTTCAATCCCAATTAGCTAGAAAAAGGACTTGACAACAAGTTTATAAGCATTCTCAATCAATTTTTTTTTAGTATTTTGAAAGTCTACCTTTGGTTTCAGTTCCCAAATTTTATCGGAGGAAATGTTTCCTCACGTAAGCCCATACTAAGTCTTTGGGGTGAACTTCGTGAATGTTTTCTTCTTGTTGGTTTGCTTGACGTATTGAGCATTCTACTTTTCAATCTCTGCATGAAACTTTGTAATCTCTTGAGCCAACATTTTAGCATCTCTAATAAGGCCTTAAGTATTGTTTTTGGGGCTAAGTCCATGAGTCAGATTGGTTGCAACTCGTACACACTCAAATGGAGTTTCGCTTGTTGTTTGATGAACTGGCAGATCCTAAGCAAACTCCAATTGGGGCAGCACCATAGCAGATCCTCTTGTTGTAGATTATTCCCCACATAACTTCTAAGTAAATTTTGGAGTGTACTACTTGCCACCTCAGCTTGCCCATCAGCTTGGGGGTGATAGGTGCTTAAGAACAATAATGTAGTGACCAACTTCCTCTGTGAGGTCCTCGAGAATGACTCCTGAACTTGACGTCTCTGTCGCTTACCATACTTCTTGGAATGCCATGCAATCTAATTATCTCCTTGAAATACAAGTCAGCAACAATGGAGACATCACTAGTTTTGTTGTGTGCTATGAAGTAGGACATCTTTGAAAACGATCAACCACTGCCATGATGGAATCATCATGCCTCTCCGCCCATGGTAACACCAAAACAAAGTCCAAACTCACTTCCTCCCAAGGTGCATTTGGATTTGGTAATAGGTGTAGAGGCCTACTATGTCTGATTGAGTTTAACCATGGTTCAGGTGGTGTACCGCTTCACAAAATGGCTTGTATCTCAGTTATCTTAGGCCAAAAGAAATTAGCCCCAACTAAAACCAACGGCTTTGTTCTTCCAAAATGTCATCATGATTCCTAC